CCGCCACCCGACGCGGCAGCGTGGCCGCTCATTCGTCCGCGCCCCTTTCCTCACAGGACGCTCGTCGGCTACGCACGCTGTGCCCTTCACCCACCGCCCAGCGCCCCATCGCCGGCCGCGTCGAGCGCCCGCCCCAGTCACATGTGCCGCTCGCTCCCTCGTCTTCCGTCCGTCTGTCTCCCATCACCGTCGCGCGCGCCGCTGACCCCGCCATGACCGCTAGAGAACACTTGCCGTGGCGTCCCAGGTCTTCTCCGGTCGAGCCAAGGGCACCCACCTGGTGATGCTCGCGCGCCGCGGCTCGCCGCGGGCTCCCACCCCGACGCCCGGAAACGACCGGCCCGACCTTCCCCATGTATATTTCAAATGTTTCATAAGTTTCAGATGTATGTTGCAATTGTTTGATCTTGATGTTGCAAAAGTAGATCGGGGGATGTTGCATATGTTTGCAAGTGTTTCAGAGGTATGTTGCAAGCGTTTGTTCAAAATGTATCTGCCAAATGTATGTTGCGATCGTTTTTATCCAAATGTTGCATATGTTACAACAATATGTTCCAAATGTTTCAGCCGTTTCAGTCTTATGTTGCAGCAAGTGGTTTCATGTTGCAAGTTGCAAGTGTTTTATTTTTTGATGTTTCATGTGTTTCACACATATGTTGCAAGAGGATGTTCCAAATGTTTCATAGTCGTATGTTGCATTCATGTTGCAAGTGTTTTATGTTGTTCGGCCGGGGCGGGGGGACGGGGCACACGGCGCGTAGGGGGGCGACGGACGAGGGCGCTAGGGGCCGGCGGATGGGGATGTTGCAGGTTGAAGCGGGCTGGGGGTGTGCTCGTCCTCAGCCGCTCATCCCGGCTCCCGTGTGTCGCCCACGCGAAGAGTTGGAGAGAGAGAGGAGGGGTCAAGGGAAGGACCGGCGGGCACATGGACGGAGGCAGAGCACACTCGTGGGGTGGGACGAAGGCGGACGGGGGTGGGCTGCGTGGGCCTTTGGGCACTAGCCACACCCTTTTTTATACCCCCTCTACCCTAAATAAAAAAAGTCAAATACCAAGCTTGACTAGTTTTATGGGGGGAATCAAATTTTATATCTTTAAATAGTTTTGTTAAAAAAAATTGCATTAGTGATCTAGTAACACTTACAATATTACGTATCATAGACATTTTTTTATATATTTATTTAAACTAAGATTGTTTTAATTCTCAAAAAACAAGATTTCTATTTTGTTTTAGGGTCGGAGAGCATACTATTTTGTGATTGTTGTCTGATATAGGGTAAGTATAAATAAAAGCTTTATGGGCAAATTTAGTATGTACAACAAATTAGAATTGATTATTGATTATCTTCACTCCTTCTATTCATTTTCTAATACAACACCTATTTATCTGGATACACTATAGTGTGATAAATTTACCAATCATTTTATATGCATTTTAATTCTTTGCATTTCATCTTTACGAGTTTTTATATGATTTATTTGAAACATAAGATTAAGTTACATCAGCTCTTGTTGTATGCTTTTTGACATCATGAATCTATATCTTCCCTTTTAACTTCAAATCTTATTAGTGGTTGTTATTTTTTAACTACATGTGAGTTGTTGTAAAAAAACTACATGTGAGTTCAAACTCTAGTGGTAATCATATCTTTCATTCAAAAAATTTCCTTTTGTATTTTATTAAAAGGCAGATTCTAGGTTCTAAACTACCCTCTTGGTTACTATAATTGTATAAACACTCGTTTCAACCTGCACTACGGCATCAATATGTTGAATTTGCTATAACGACGAATTATATTTGTAGGTATATTTTTATAAACATAGAGTGCTTAAAATTGAATTATCAGTATTGTTATGACATAATGTTTTAGTCAAAGTGTATAAAATTATCTACCACGAGAACTTACAAAAGTTATTATCATGGAGTATTAATAAAATTTAAAATAAATGAGCAGTACTATGGGTATGTGGTTTGTTAAGATTTTTCCATGATTAATAATGTATTAAATTATGTATTTATCATAATTTCTGCATGTTTAATTGGCCTATATGCATGGTGACACATAACATGTATATTTACTTTGAATTTAACCATGGTAACATTGTATAATTGAAAACATATATAACATACTTTTTATTATTGAATTATTTTTTATAGTAGCTTATATTGGTATTTATGTATAGATTTTAGAGATATTTCATTTTACTTTGTACACCGACACACGTGAATAATTTAGATACAAAATAAAGGGGTTACATTATATTATCTTTCATAATGGCATGTGTGAATAATTTATGGCAAAGTTAGGGGTTACTTTGCATTATCTTTCATAATGGTAATGGTGGATAATTTAGGTACAGAGTTATGGGTTATTTTAAATTATCTTCCATAATGACAAATGCAGTTTAGATACAATTTTAGGTGTTACATTTCAATTTTCAAACATGGAGATTGGTAATAATTTTTGAGAGCTAAATAGATCCAAGGCTATACCTATACTAGCAAAGATATTTAGAGTGCTTATGATTATTGTAGGAATTTTTGTGATTTATTTTTTTTCTATAGAGCGCCCCATGAGAATTAACAAGTGTGGATGCTTCCTTGGAGGTCTCTGAGTAGTAATATTAAGATAATTAAGAGATGATGCAAAAGACTCATGTATGGTGACAATTTAATTCATGCATGTATAAACTGTTTTTATTTGGGTGATTCAACATGGATTGTTTAATAAATGGGCAGGTAGCAATATAGTACTTACCAAATTTGTGCATCTATTAAATGCGAAATTGTCCCTGTATGCCTTAAATCGCCTATATTTGGGTTCTACAAATTTTTAATGCTTCTAAAAGTGTTGGTTCATTAATTAGTCTAATCATGATTGACCTATAATTGCCTAAAAGTGTTGGTTCATTAATTTGTCGACATTGATTCATTCTAAAACCCTAAAAGTCCTTATATTTGTTGACAGTGAGAGTATTTTAGGCATACTTATAACTAAGCTTCTAGATATAATATTACAAATACTATTTTCTCTATAATAGTTATCATGATTTAAATGTGCAATTTCATTAGTTATATAACTTTGATCGACACTGCACTTCCTTTGATCTAGAAGGACGATGTGCAAGGACACTTTGAAGTCACATAAACTCATAAGTACCTCACTATTAATAATTGGGTGCTCCAACAAAGACTACATTAATTCTCACGAGACAAACTAGAAAAAAAATACAAATCATGAGATTCGTATAAATATCAAAAAGAACTTATCATCAATTCGATATACTGTTATCACAATGGATAAAAATAACCATAGTGTCTATTTTGTTTTCTAAAAGCTTGTCCACATATGTTATTATGAAAAAACATTATAAAGTAACCCTTAAATCAAAATTAAATGGTACTACAAGAAACATGATCTAAAGAAATACACTAAAAAATTTACATGTAAGTTACCTACAAATGCCATTACAAAGGTATAATCTAAAGTAGCCCCTAAATATATATCAAAACTACACACTTAGATATAAATTATGGTGAGTGTGTAGTTTTGATATATATTTAAAGTAGCAGAGACACGAATACGGAGAGAGGAAACTATAATAAAACATACAAATTTTTTTAAAAGATATTCTCAAGTAAAAGTAAATTAACGAAAAAAGTTACGCATTGGCAGCCTTACTATTTTTTTTTTACCATTCACCGTGGGTTGTTTTGTAGCTTTCGAAACAAACAAGATGCCCTGACTTGCATTGCCTGCCTTGTTGTATTCACATAAACAAACCGCTAGCAAGGAAAAGGAAGTGGCTGAACCGCCAGGCAGTTTGCTTTTCAGAAACAAAGCCTTCCTGTTGCGTGTGCGCTGTGTGTCCTGTGGCTCCTCTCCTCCGCTCCGCTCATGTCCAGCGCCGCGGAGCTCCCATCACCCGAAGGAACACGACACGGCTGTTGAGTGTTGCGTGTGGCAGCGAGAGCGAGTGGGCTCCTGCCTCCTGGACCCTACCCAACTTCCGTCTTCCAATCCCCGAGCTCGCCGATCGCGCCGCGGCCGTGCTCCGCTCTCGGCGCGATCTAGCGGCAAGGAGCAGAGCGCAGAACCGTTTTGCCATGCCATTGGTCAAGCCGCGGTACAGGCATACAGCACACCAGCGTCCTGCACGGCACGGGACGTCGGCCCACAGCGTCAGCGGTAGTGGCAGACAAACTAACGTTAGATCCGATCGTAAGCATCCATCCGTCTCGCAGCGCAATGCAAATATGCAATCACCTGTGAAACTCGAAAAAGCAGAGGTCGGCCTCGCTAGAAAAATACCCCTGTATAGGAGTAGTGGACACAGGGTTAAGTTAAGAAGAAGAAGAAGAAATTAATGAATTAATGAATCAACAAACGCCTTGTTTAGTTGGACCCCAAAGTCCAAAAAGTTGCTACAGTATCTGTCACATCGAATGTTTGCGGCCCGTACATAGAGCATTAAATGTAGACAAAAATAAAAACTAATTGCACAATTTGGTGGGAAATTGCGAGACAAACGTTTTAAGCCTAATTAGTCCATGTTTGAACACTATTTACCAAATAAAAACGAACGTGCTACAATAGCCAAAAATCCAAATTCACCCAACTAAACCAGGCCAAAGCGCGTTTGAAACTTTTGATTGGCATTCGCAGCAAGCGGCCACCGTACTGTATGTTTTTATTTTGCTTTGTTTGTTTTTGAGAAACGTGAGGTGAGGGAGTACAATTGGACGTCCGCGTGTCCGCTCGTTATAAACCCCCCCGCGACCCAAACTACCACGAGCTCAAGCAAGTAGAGCGCGGTGACATCACAATACACACTAGCACAGAGAGCGCCGAAGCTTATAGCTAGCTGCTCTGCCTCACCAGTCCCCGGCTTGGCCTTGACACAGCTCCCTGCCAGCCAGCAAGATGATGCTCGCGTACATGGACCGCGCGACGGCGGCCGCCGAGCCGGAGGACGCCGGCGAGCTTTCGCCCGCCACCATGGCGCCGGCCGCCGCCGCCGGCGACGCGGCGGCGATGGACTTCGGCGGGCTCCTCCGTGCCGTGCCCGCGGCAGTGGTCCGCCCGGCGAGCGCGGACGACGTGGCCAGCGCCATCCGCGCGGCGGCGCTGACGCCGCACCTCACCGTGGCCGCCCGCGGGAACGGGCACTCGGTGGCCGGGCAGGCCACGGCCGAGGGCGGGCTGGTCCTCGACATGCGCTCGCTCGCCGCCGCGACGTCGTCGTGGTCCTCCCGCCTCGGCGGCGCGCAGCAGACGATGCAGCTCGTCCAGTGCCCGTCCGAAGGCGGCGGCGGCCACTGCTACTTCGCCGACGTGCCCGGCGGCGCGCTCTGGGAGGAGGTGCTCCACTGGGGCGTCGACAACCACGGGCTGGCCCCGTCATCCTGGACGGACTACCTCCGCCTCACCGTGGGCGGCACGCTCTCCAACGGCGGCGTGAGCGGGCAGTCCTTCCGCTACGGGCCCCAGGTGTCGAACGTGGCCGAGCTCGAGGTGGTCACCGGCGATGGCGAGTGCCGCGTCTGCTCGCGCTCCTCCCACCCGGACCTCTTCTTCGCCGTGCTCGGCGGGCTCGGCCAGTTCGGCGTTATCACGCGCGCACGCATCCCGCTCCACAAGGCGCCCAAGGCGGTGAGCACGCAGTCGCAGGAGCCCAAACATTACGCAGCTTGCTTGGGGCACTACTGACTGACGCTGCCATTCTCCTCGGTCGGTCCGGCGGTTGCAGGTGCGGTGGACGCGCGTGGTGTACGCGAGCTTCGCTGACTACACGGCGGACGCGGAGTGGCTGGTGACGCGGCTCCCCGACGCGGCGTTCGACTACGTGGAGGGCTTCGCGTTCGTCAACAGCGACGACCCCGTCAACGGGTGGCCGTCCGTGCCCATCCCCGGCGGCGCCCGCTTCGACCCGTCCCTGCTCCCCGCCGGCGCCGGCCCCGTCCTCTACTGCCTGGAGGTGGCCCTGTACCAGTACGCGCAGCACCGGCCCGACGACGACGAGGACCAGGTACGTAGCAGTAATTGCCAACGCCCTTGGTCCCTTGCGTGGCGCATTCCCGTACTTGCCCCTCGGCAGCTGTAGCGTGGCGTGTACTTTTCCGCGGGGCATGTCTGCCTCAGTGCCTCGCCTCGTCGTCGTGTATCTCCCGCTGGATTCGGTGACGGGAGCGCGCGCCTCCGGCATGCCTCCCCCAACCTACCCAAGTGTGCCCCTGCTGCGCTGCGTCCTGCCAAACCACCCTACGCACGCACGCGGGGCCCGGCCGGCGCCAGTCACGCCGCGCCGCGCCGCACGGCCGCGCCTCGATCTCGCTCGCTGGTGATCGAATCGGCGCGTACAATGCGGCATGGCCCCGATCGAGCCCCACACCCCGCAGCCGCAGCGGCCGTGACGCGATTGCGCTGCCCTCCGGCCCGTCCGTGACCCAGCGGATCGCGTCTTTTGGCAACGCCCGCGCGCTCGCGCCCGCGTCAACATATCGCCCAGCCGTGCCCTCTGTGTCGTCCGTCCCCACGGAGCACAGCACAGCTCAGCTCACTTTTTCTCCGCCACGCACGCACGCTTCGTGCACTGCCGCTCCCGTCATGCTGACCAATCCACTCGGTTTTTCTCGTTGTGCCTGCAGGGGGAGGGGGTGGCGAGCGTGAGCCGCCGGATGATGGCGCCGCTCAAGTACGTGCGGGGCCTGGAGTTCGCGGCGGACGTCGGGTACGTGGACTTCCTGTCCCGCGTGAACCGGGTGGAGGAGGAGGCCCGCCGCAACGGCAGCTGGGACGCGCCGCACCCGTGGCTCAACCTCTTCGTCTCCGCGCGCGACATCGCCGACTTCGACCGCGCCGTCATCAACGGCATGCTCGCCGACGGCATCGACGGGCCCATGCTCGTCTACCCCATGCTCAAGAGCAAGTGAGTGGAGCGTTCCTCTCTCTGTTTTTCGCGCCCATCCCCTGCTCCTCCTTTCCTCGCACTGCGTGCCGTACAGGAGTGGATGCAGTGTACTGCCGTTCAGTGGCGCGACGTGCAGTTGCCGTTTGCGGCAAAGGGGGCCGGGGCGCATGTGAGCCGCCTTGCCTGCTCTCTGCTCGTCGTGTCGCTGACGTCTGGTCCTCCGGCTCCGGGACACTTGCTGAATCGACCGTACGTACGTAGTACCTGTAATACGATGGGCCCGAGCTTCCGTGATTCGCCATCGCCGCTTCTGTGTTTGGATTTAGCCGTGTCGTTTGCTGCCCATATAGTTAGGAGCCACTAACCCCCAATCTTATGGAGTAGCACTGCAGTAGTACTATGATGATTGACAAATTATTGCTCCATCCACCCGACTCGAGGCTACTGCACAGTCCATGTCATGTGGGCCCCCGATAGGCAGTGGTTTCAGTTCACAGTCCTAACGTGTGTGCACTGCAGGTGGGACCCCGACACGTCGGTGGCGCTGCCGGAGAAGGGCGAGATCTTCTACCTTGTGGCGCTGCTGCGCTTCTGCCGGCCCGGCGGCCCGGCGGTGGACGAGCTGGTGGCGCAGAACGGCGCGATCCTCCGCGCCTGCCGCGCCAACGGCTACGACTACAAGGCCTACTTCCCGAGCTACCGCGGCGGGGAGGCGGAGTGGTCGCGCCACTTCGGCTCCGCCAGGTGGAGGCGCTTCGTGGACCGCAAGGCCCGGTACGACCCGCTGGCGATCCTCGCGCCGGGCCAGAAGATCTTCCCCCGCCGGGCCCCGGCTGGGCGTCCGTCGCGCGCCGTGTAGTCTAGTCTAGTCTAGTCTAGCAAGGGGGGACGACGGGAGGAGGCTGCCGCCTGCTGGTATGGTAGACGATGATCGCGCTGCTAGCTGTTGCCGGTAATGATGGTGATTACGCTGCTGATCCTGGTGATGATGGACGATCGAGGAGGTAGCCGATGGTGGTGAGCAGGGCAATGACGGCGATAGGGCCACCGTTAGGTGCATCGATCGGCAAATTAAGGGGATTGGTGTGTGGAGATCTGCATGAACTTTCCTCCCTGAATGAAAAAAATATACGTATGAGCGGCGTGAAGCTAGACGCAGGAGGAAAAACGAAAGATGTAGTAGCCTTTTTCGCTCCATGCATGCTTGCACATTTTCCTCCCATTCGTGTCTCTCAGTGTCTGTGTTTCTCTCCCCTCCTTATAACTTCGCCGGCCGCCGAGGCCGAGGCGATGTGAGATCGCGACGCAACGCAGCGACGCTGGATTTGTCCGCTCCGCCGCCGCCGTGGCGGTGGCGTGCGCCCGCAAGCTGTTCCGTTCCCGTTCCGTCCCCGCGGTAGCTCTCGCTCGCCGTCCTACGCCCGCGCACTGGTCCCCGCCCGGCACCCCACGTGGCACACCAGCCCGATCCAAACGCCGCGACCGCGGGGCGGCGGGGCCGTTGGTTCGCGGCACCGGTACCTTTCTGCTGCTCCCCTGCCCTGCCTCGCTCGGCGCTGTTCTGTATACGACGACCGCGAACAGAGCGCGGCCAAACCGGCGGGTCTCGGTCGGTCTCGCCGCGAACTGTGCTGGCTGGCGACGCGAGCCGCGGGACGCCGACCGATACCGACACCGATACCGAGGAGCGCGACGGTGACCCCGTCCGTTTCTGGGGCGGGCGGGCGGCGTTTTCGTTTGGAAAATTTGTGGACTGGGACTGGTATAAACACGATCGGCACGTATACTACAAGTATTCCTTTCCCTGTCGTGCTCGCTCAGTTGCATTCCGTGACGCGAGCCGGATCGCGACGGAAGCGGCTCAACGAGCGTCCGTTGCTACTTGCTAGCATCTGTCCAGCGTCGTAGCGTGACAACCCCTCTGCCGTCGCGACAGATCGGCGCTGCTTCCAGAACAGGGTCATTGGTTACACGCCGCCTCGATCGTCATTGATCAGACCTTCTGGTTACTACTACTACTTGCCCAGCTGTAGTAGGTTCGGGCCCAGCTTGTCGGGCACGTGTGGCCACGCGCGCAGCACACGTAAGCTGCCGCACAACACGACCGACGCTGCGAGCAGAAAAATCGGCGAGATCCATCAACCGATCGGTGCTACGGAACGGAACAGATTTTGGCTGTCGACTGGCCGGAAACGAGCCGGCGACCTCGATCCCCATCGCTGTTGCGCTACAGGCTGCTGGCAAAAGACGCTGTCGAGGCCGATGGATGGACCGATGATGATCCACGATCGATCGCCCGTAGGCCGTAGCAGCAAAAGCGTTCGTTAGTTAATGTATCAAGCTGCAGAAACTTATCCCCAGAATTAGGTACGCGAGGGCGACTCCTGGATAGATTTACCTCATCTCTTATCGTCGTCATCCCTTCCATGTCTCTCAGGAATTTTACTGAATCTTTTCGATCGTTTATCAGTACCAGGATCCAAGCCGCCGGAGAGCGAGCTTTCGGGCGACAAAAGGCGCTGCTCGAGATCGGCGAGGGGATCAGCGGGGATCTGCCGGGACGACGACGCCGCGCGTTTTATATTGGAACAAACAACTGCCCCCAAGCGGTGGCTTTCTGACAACGCAATCTAGGCTATGAGTAGTGTCGTCAAAGCGACCGTATCCGCAATCCATCCATCATCCTTAAATTAACAAACTTTTCCTTTCCTTTTCTTCTGTTCCTTCGGATAATTAATTAATTCGTTAATTAATTAAAACAAGAGATCAAGAAAGACGGAGAAGCAGTAGTCCGCGCTGCCGCCGGCAATTGTCTTGTTCCATTGCTACGGTCCACCTGTTTTACACACAAACGACAGCGGAGAAGCAGTAGTCCGCGCTGCCGCCGCCATTATTGAGTTCAGCTCAGGCGTCCTTTCGCTGCGGTCGGGAGCCCGGACCGGGCGCACGAAATGGATGGACGCGAGGGGAGGAGAATTTTAATTTTTTAATCAATATTTCAATAATAACGGTTGCAAAAAATATTTTCAGATCTAATACTTGTGGTCGTGTTATGGCGCGACCAAACAACGCTGTCGCACCAACGCATATGGCGCGGCAACATCTGCCATATTGGATGACGTTTTCGACGTGAAAAAGCTTGTCGCGCCACGCCCGGTGGTGTGATAGGATTGTCTTGTCGCGCCACCGGGAGTGGCGTGGCAAGACTAAATTTTCGAAAAATCATAACTCTTCAATACGATGCCAGATGAAGATGATTTTTATATGAAAATTATATATCTCGACGAGATCTACAACTTTCTAGTTTTAAGTTTTTTCGTTCGAGGACGTTAAGATACTCAAAATAATAATAAAAAATTTCAGCACCATAATAATCGCATACCAACGCTTGACGCATTTAAAAAAATAATATCTTTTTTGTATGGTGTCAAATGAAGATATATTTTATATCAAAGTTGTAGCCCTTAACGAGATATATATGTTTATAGTTTTGAGTTTTCATATTTGAGGTCGTTAACATACTCTAATAACTAATGTAAAGTTTTAGCAGCATATTAATCGTGTATCAAAACTTATCTTTTTAGAAAAATCGTATATTGTTTATTTGATGTCACATAAAAACTACTTTTTAAATAAAAGTTGTAGATCTCATTAGAAGCTCCAATTTTGATATAAAAAGTACCTTCATTTGACACGATACAAAAATGATATTATTTTTCTAATGCGACAACGGCTAGTACATGATTACTATGCTACTGAAATTTTATATTATTTTTTAGAGCATCTTAACGACTTCAAATGTTAAAACTCGAAACTACAAAGTTGTAGATCTCATTGAGAGCTACAACTTTCATGTAAAAAGTATCTTTATTTGACAACATAAAGAAATGATATTATTTTTCTAATGCAACAATTACTGGTACGCGATTATTATATTCCTGAAATTTTATATTATTTTTTTGAGCATCTAAACGACTCCAAATGTTAAAACTCGAAACTACAAAGTTGTAGATCTTATTGAGAGCTATAGATTTTATGTAAAATGTATCTTTATTTTGAAAACATACAAAAACAATATTATTTTTCTAATATGACAAGTATTAGTACGTGATTATTATGCTCCTAAAATTTTATATTATTTTTTTGAGCATCTTAACTTTCTCAAATGAAAAAACTCAAAACTACAAAGTAGTAGATCTCATCGAGAGCTACAATTTTTATATAAATTTCATCTTCATACGACATCGTATCCAAGGGTTATGATTTTTTAAAGATTTGGTTTTGTCACGCCACTCCCAGTGGCGCGACAGAATAATACTGTCATGCCAGCGGGAGTGGCGTGACAGCGTTTTCCACGTCAGAAACGTCATCTAACGTGGCCGATGTTGCCACGCCATTGCATGTGGTGCCGCAAAAAAAAAAGGAGCGATTATTATTAAAATATTAAATAAAAAAGGATTAAAAATAAAAATAAATCCGCAAGGAGGCCGATGCACTTAATAAAGAGGTGTCGGGTTTGCAACTGATACATGCTCTTAAGTTGTAACTGTCGTAGATGATTGATTGTTTATTTTGTTGATTGATATGCTGGGTGAGAGCGGCTTGACTCGGAGAAGCATGTACGTGTCATGTTTTGTTTTGGTTTGATTGGTGTTTGTGGGCAGCGTTAGTCATAACCCAATTGACAAAACAAATACCAATGCTGTGGTGGTTGTTATGCTTTCGCTTCTATTATATTACGTGAATGTTTTTTTTTTCAAAAAGCCATGGACGAGAGCACGCCGGACATATATAGGCAAATACAATAAGAAGAAAAGAAAAAAAAATCTCGTCCCTCACAAAGGTGACGACAAGACCACACCCAAAATAAAAAACAATACTGGCGAAACTACCGAGGCAACGACTGCTAAGCGCCACCGTGAACTTCACGGAAAATAAACATCTTAGCAGGGAAAAAAGGGGAGGAGGTTCTCATAGGAAACTACATCACAAGTGTCGCAAACGCGGATTGGATAACCAAGGTTTTTCGACCCGTACTACTATTGGGTAACAGGCCTCACTACAATGCTTTTTTATGTGTTGTTATTGTTCTTTTCCTATTAATATGTGTTCGGTAAAGTTTTTGTTGGATGCACTTCTATCATTTTTTTATTTTAACCTAAAAATACTACAGTACTAAAAAAAGCACGTCATAAATTAATCTTTTAGAAACTAGTTCTTTTAGTTGCTCCAGAGACCGTGAGTTGCCACTTGATCACGTTTAACGTATTAACATCGCTACAAAGCTTTTCTAGGTATGTCATTGATGTGGAGAACATAGAAACCTCTAAAATTCTTGTAGTCTTTTATGTAGATACTAAAATAAAAAATGGCATATTTTGCTTGGACCAGGTATCATAACTTTTGTAGTTTTAAAACTATTTTTTTCCTAAGATGCTATATTTCAATTTTTGGTTAAGCTCTTTTTGAGCTAGGAATCTAAAAAAAATCTAATTTTCCAAGTAGGTGCTAAAAAAACAAGCATGACTCATTTTGTTTAGATCCCGTGTCATGGCTTTTGTAGTTTGAAAACTAAAATTCTTCCCAGAATGTTATATTTGTTTTTTTTGTTTAAGCTGTTTAGCCCTAATATGGTTTCTAAAAATCCACAAAAATCACCTAAATTCTTAGTTCAGAAAGTAGTATTTTGTCATGTAATTTCCAGCATATGTGCTCAAGTGAAATCTAATGTTCATTAACAAAGCACATGCTCAAAATTAGATTGTAATGTGATTTTTTTAAAACATTCAAAACAAGCTCAAGAAACTTTCATGGATGCTAAAAAAATGCAGAGATGGCATGAGGTGCATCTAATGCATG